CTTGCGGGTATGTAGTGGGGCGTTTCGGACTACTCCTGTGTCTGCCCTCCTCGTAGAGGTGGGTGAAATGCCGCTGGAGTTCCGTTGCATTAACCTTGGGCTATGCTATCTGATGAAGGTTATGGGTATGGGTGTGTATTGCCCGTGTTCGGAGCTGTTGGTCAGTCTCTAGGAGTTTGAAAGGGAGGGGCGGTTGTCTAGGGGCGGTTTTCCTGAACGGCTGAGGAATCTGGCGGTGGGGAGGGGCTTCCTTGACTGGTTGGTTCACTCCCATTTGGTGTGGCCTGAGGTTTTGCCCTGGCTCCTGCCAGTCCCTGGAGTGGACCTTTCTTTTATGACTCGACCACTGGGTGGCAGGGGGGCGGGGGCTTTTATGGATTTTATGAGGGTGGAATGGGGTTTGTTCTTGCACCTCTTTACTGACGACTCCAAGGATCCTGAGAGTGGTAGGATGGCAGTGGGGTTGGGTGTCCCTCTTTTAGGATTTGGTTTAGGTCGTCGCATTACGGACTATTGTTCTGTATTTGCAGCAGAGTTGGTTGCGATATTGTGGGCCTTGCAGTGGGTGGCGAAACATCGGCCGACGAGATCTGTGATTTGCCCTGACTCTGCTGCTGCTCTTGAGGTGTTGGTGGGGGGATTCTCCAGTAGGCCTGACTTACTGGTTAGAATCAGGTTGATGTTGCACGTTGTAGATGGTTGGGGTGTGACGTTTGTTTTTTATGGGTTCCTGCTCATGTGGGGGTGGAGGGTAATGAGAGGGCCAATACTTTGGCTAAGGGAGCGCTGTCGAGGTGTGAGGTGGATGTGGGAGTGGGGTTAGGAATGTGTGAGTGTCACTCGCCGGTGAGTCAGATGTCAGGCCTAGTGGGATGTTGGGGTTACTGGCAGGACTTTTTATGATCCACAGCGTCGGGTGGGGGTTTCTGGGGTTGGTCATCCTAGCGAGAGGAGGGACTCTGTGGTGTGGACAAGGCTGAGGTTGGGCCATAGCCGTCTTTGAGGGGGGTCTCCTGTTAGTGGGGAAGCACCCTGATGGTTTGTGCCGGTGTGGGATGCTGGAAATAGTGAAACATGTTTTGCTGGAGTGTCCCGATTACTCTGTCGAGAAGATGACACTGTTAGGGTTTGTGGGTTCTGTGGGGGTGGAGGTTTTTAGCTTGTGAACCTCGTTGAGGGAGGGGGATGGGTGATGTGTGGGCGCACTGATGGCTTTCTTGCGTCAGGTTGGTGTGTACGCGAGGGTGCGATCGGCGGTGTGTAAACAATAGGTTGCTGTGGCAGCAATACGCCGGATAGGCGTCTAGTCTGCCGTACAACTGAAGAAGTTGATAATAGATTTTATGAAGTCGCTTGGTAACTTTAGTTGGTTTTCTATTAACTTTGTCTTCAGTTTCTGATAACTACAGTAGTTAGCTTTAGTAATGGCCTGTATTTGTATAGTGCCTTCTTATGGTTCTACAACCCCCCAAGGCACTTTACAACCCAATCAGTCATTCACCCATTCACACGCTGGTGGCGATGAGCTACGATGTAGCCACAGATGCCCTGGGGCGCACTGACGGAAGCGAGGCTGCTGAATACCGGTCCCTCCGACCACCACCAGCAGGCGAGGTGGGTTTAGTGTCTTGCCCATCGACATATATATTGGACAATTCATTTCCATAGGCTCCAATAACACGTTTTTGAGGGGAAATGGGAGGTGGCCACCACCGCCATTTTGACCGTGTCACAGGTTCCGTCAAGCCCAGACAATTCCACAAAAGGGAAGAGAGGTGGAGCTGAGGGTGGGGCTGTAAGGCTGGGATCAACTGACGACACCCGGTCGAACTAGCTACAAGCTAACCTGAAGCTAACCCAAAGCTAACGCGGAGGTGGGAGCTAACGGAGGTAGCAACCTAGCTACAACCGGAGTTGTGCATAACACCAGAGCTTCTGAGTCAGAGATATGCTGGGCTGACCGCTGGGTAAAACTGGGTGGAATACAGCGGTCTCCCAAGAGCTTCACAAGCCGGCAGCCGCGCAGCAGAGAAGCGCCGCTGCGATCTGAGATGCGCAGAGCTGCCGCTGGGGAGAACCGGGTGGAAAGGTTTCCATCCAAGAGCTCCACAAGCCGGCAGCCCACGCAGCAGACAGAAGCCGCGATCAGACAGAGATGCGCCGAGCTGCGGGGAGGGGAGAAACGGGTGGAAAACATCGGTCTCCCGAGAGCTCCTCAAGCTGATAGTCGGAACCCAGCTCCACCAACATGTTATATTTCAACCCATTTTCTAAAGTGCAGCATTATGTTAAATGCACTGGGTTTTACCCTATTACATTTAAATTTCATGGTTAAACAGTACATGTTAAAATCTAAGCTCAGCTCGGCAGTGACCTAAAATACATAAATATAATTTTACTTACCGAAAAAATGAAGTGGAAACTCCTTGGATGCTCTATTAGTGCAATTAATGCCACAGCAAGTCATTTTGTCCAACAATTGCACAAATAATATCCAAAAAAGAATACACAAACGCTACAACTAATGGTCTAAGTTGAGAGACTGAAAATGACGGAACAGTTTTCAGGCGAAGCTGAGGCTCTACTGAGGCCTTTCCCCGGAGCTAGCTCTTTGGTCACGTGGGTCTGATGCTAATTAATTATACAGAATTTTAGACTTTTAATACACTTAAACAAAGAGTGAGAAAAAAATTCACCCCCCTCAGAGTTGTCATGAGTGTAAACTAGATCATTTAAACCAAAAACATGTTTTGGTACCAGGCTGTAAACATGTTTATTTCTGCTGTGAAATTGGTATTTTTAACATGGGAGTCAATGAGGATTTGCTCGCTTCTGACACCAGCCCCTAGTGGATGAGGGTGGAACTGCAATTTATTTCACTTCCACATTGGCCTCAATTTCTGTCCTGCATTGTGGGGGCTTGGTCATGCCCAAGGACACATCAGCAGAATTCTCTGGTTGGAGCCGGGATCGAACTTGCAATCTTACGATCACTAGAAAACCCACTCTACCTCCTGAGCTACTGCTGTCCCTGTAGTAATAACATTCCTACTCCTGTCTTAATTCTAGCTCCTTTGTTTATTCTGGAGGTGACCCAGTTCCTTTTGTTTATCTTTCTGAATTAAGACAGGCTCCCTTAAGCTTGATTTATGCTTGACGCATTTACTTTCCGCTTGGTGATGCGGCTCTCGGATGCGCTTCACAACTCGCAGCGTTTATGGTTCATGCGGTTTGTCTCTGCGGTGAGCCAATATTCTCCCAAACTGAACAGTAACAAGCCTTACAGATTTACTCTCAGGTGGAGCATCAAAGCGTCTGCTTTTAATGTCACGCCTGATACTTAAAACTTTATTGTTATTGTTTTTGAATACTTTTTAATTCTGACCAGACACGGAGACAGAGGTGAAAGAGAAAGGAAGAGACAAAAGGGGGAGGGGGGGGGGGGGGGGTTCCACAAAAATAAACAATAATGAACAAGAGTCTGCTTCTAGACCTGCAGAAAATGAAAGAAGAGAAAAAATGGGACACAACAATACAACAGGAGCAAGCTATCACTGTGTCAACTATACAATCAGCATTGTTTAACTGAACAATCACATGATAATAAATCATAGTGTATTTAGTGGCAACGACAGCCTTAAGACATGTGTTGAATGTGATGCGGCTTGCGGATGGAACGCGCTTCACAACTCGCAGTGTTTATGGTTCATGCGGCTCGTCTCTGCGATGAGCCAATATTCTCCCAAACTGAACGGGGCAGCATGGAGCTCTACGGCAAGCATCCAACACTACACCATAGTAGAAGTAGAAATTACTGTTTACAACATGGCATTCCAGCATTTTTAACAGCGTTCTCGTCTTTTCCGACAGTGCGAGCTATTTCTCTCCAAGAATTATTAACAACATGTTGATCACGGTGGTCTCTGAGAGCTGAATCATACAAATGTCTGTATTTACGAACCTCTGCCATACTAGTTCTTGCCAGTCCGCCATGTTTTTCCGCGTCCGACCGTCCGAGGGGTTAGAAAATTTCCTAGGTGTGCGGTGCGGAAAGTTTGGGCCGTGCGGAGGCCCGGTGGAGGAGCGTGGTTGTTAAAATGACACAACTTTTCCACGTGGAGCCGTGCGGACCTCGCGGACGTGTCAAGCATAAACCAAGCTTAAGTTGTTTCCCTGTGTAAATCGTCCTTCTGTTGGTTTGCACTTATACTAGAGGTCCTCTTGTTCCTTGTTTCATTTAAAACTTTGTGTAATAAACCCTTTTGACTCTTACGACAAGTGCAAGGGTTGGGCCCTTTAAACACAAGGGGTGTTATGCCCTGACCACACAGATTCTTCTACGGTGATGAAACGATGACTACTAATCAGATGTCGGCACGTTGCATATATGACATCAACACAGAATCTCCTCTGCCCCAGTGTTGCTTCTGCTTACCACACGGCAAGATTTATGGTGGTTATTTCCTTCTGAAGGAAGGGATTCAAATGTTGCTAAACGTACAGCCTATTTTCTTCTGCTCTTCTTCGTGTCCGGTTCAATGACGTCATTTTGGAGGTTGCGCGTTTGTAGTCTTAAAATAACTTTTTTCACATTTTCTTGGCATCAAAAAGTCATTAAAATTCACAAGCATGTGAATTCCATGGCATAAAACAAACAGTATTAGAAAATAGCTTTCATAGCACCATTACCTTGCCTTCATTTTTCGATCTTCCGGGGACCCATGGTCCAGAAGCAGATGGGTGTGATTTAGGCTCCACGTTGGGTTTAAAAATGGCAATGATGTTGTTACACTCTCTATCACCCAATGGGGCTTCTACGTATTCATGTCTATGGGCGTAAACAAACTGTGACCTTTTAAAATCTCTAGACATATCCAGTGTAGATTGGGAGTCCGTTCTGATCCCAACAACTTAAAGCAATAATACAACTCTTAAATGTGTAAACAAAAGTTATGGCAGTCCTTAAGTCACATCATGTGTTTCCTACAACTGTTCAACAGATGGCGCTGGTTAAAGAAGAAGCTCCTGAAGAACCGATTGCTGGCATGGATCAGCAAGACCCAGAACATCTTCACATAAAGGAGGAACAGGAGGAACTCTCGACCGGTCTGGAAGGAGAGCTGCTCCAAATGAAAGAGGAGAATGATGTGGCAAGGGTTCCACTTACTACAGTTTCTATAAAGAGTGAAGATGCTGAAGAGAAACCTCTATTTTCACAGCTTAAACAGGAGGGAATAAAAGATGGAAATGTCCCAACCAGCAGCTCAGCTGACCAGATGACAGTACAAACTTGTGGTGGAGCAGAAACTTGCAGGAGCCCAGATCTGAACTCATGTGAACACACAGATACGTCAGAGACTGAAGTTAGTGGAGAGGATGAAGATGATGAGGATGTGAGCCTAGACTCCGAAAAGTCAGGCTTCTGGCCTGAAAGAGACGATGATTGGAAGAAGAGCAGGTCTTCTGACACAAATGTTAAAACAGCCAACAAATCCTTTAGCTGCCCTGAGTGTGGTGAACAATTTCTCTGCAAGTGGTCCCTCCAGACACATGTGACAGAGATGGGTCATTCAGCAGTAATGTCTTCAGGCTGTTTGGTTAATCAGAAATGTGATGGACAGAAGCAACATGTAAACTTATGCAGGAAAGTAAAACAAAAACTACAGTTATTTAGTTGTGATGACTGTGGAAAAATATTTAGGCGAAAATCAAATTTAAATACACACATGAGAGTCCACACAGGACAGAGACCTTTTGCTTGTGAGCTGTGTGGACAAAGGTTTAGCCATAAGACAACTTTAAACAGTCACATAAGAGTCCACACAGGGCAGAAGCCCTTTGCTTGTGAGCTCTGTGGAAAAAAATTTAGGCAAAAGGCAAATGTAGACCGACACATGGGTGTCCACAAAGAACAGAAGCCTTTTGCTTGTGAGCTGTGTAAACAAAGATTTAGCCAAAAGACATCTTTAAACATTCACATGACAGTCCACACAGGACAGAAGCCCTTTTCTTGTGAGCTTTGTGGACAAAGATTTGGCCATAAGACGTCTCTAAACAATCACTTGAGAGTCCATACAGGACAGAAGCCTTTTGTTTGTGAGCACTGTGGACAAAGATTTAGCCAAAAGGCAAGTTTTAACAGACATATGACTGTCCACACAGGACAGAAGCCTTTTGTTTGTGAACTCTGTGGACAAAGATTTACCCGAAAGACAGCTTTAATCATACACACGAGACTCCACACAGGACAGAAGCCTTTTGCTTGTGAGCACTGTGGACAAAGATTTACCCAAAAGACAACTTTAAGCATACACATGAGACTCCACACAGGACAAAAGCCTTTTGCTTGTGAGCTCTGCAGTCAAAGATTTAGCCAAAAGGCAAGTTTTAAAAGGCACATGATTGTCCACACAGGACAGAAGCCATTTGCCTGTGAGCTCTGTAGACAAAGATTTAGCCAAAAGGCAAGTTTTAACAGACACATGGGACTGCACACAGGACATAAGCCTTTTTCCTGCGAGCTATGTGAGCAAAAATTTAGCCAAAAGACAAATTTAAAAGTACACATGAGAGTCCACACAGGACACAATTAAGTATTTTAACTACAATAGTACTAAAACATCCTAGATATCAGTCTTGTACTCCTGGTGATAGTAGTTTTTCCTAGATAGGGCTGCATCCTACCCACGGACGACTTCTTTCTGGCTTGCGAGCCATATATTATGTTCTCCAAGCTGTAAATGTTTATCTAATTCCTGTTTCTATCAAGAGATGGTGCAGTGGCATAAACAGTGCCTCGCTCATGAGCTGCAGCCTGAAGTGCTGCCCTGAGGTTTTATCTTTGAAGAGTTGAAGTTAATTTTAGCATGGCATGTATACTCTGCTGTTAAATGGTTTGTGCATACACTTGCTTGTCTTTTACCACTGGTTTGTACTTGGTGAGTTGCATGAATATAAGTACTGGTCTCTTCAGTTGTTTATCCCAGTGATTCCCAAACAAGCGCATGCATACTCTATGTGAGCACATCACTTGGTGTATAAGGGAACATTTGATATTTAATTTCCCAAATGATTGGTATCAGTCATTTAACAGGATTTGCTCTGCCCTGGAAAAAAAAATATTGGGATAGGGTGTGTGGTGCTTAAACCCAAATGTATAATGCATGATATGAATGTATATGGTTGTTATGATTTACATTCAGCTGAACAAAAAGAAGATGTAGGATACCTCCAACTTTGTTTTGATATTGTCAACAAATAGACAGTAAAGCATCATTTTACCTGCAGTTATTCAATGTTGAAGCAACTCTTTAACTTATATGAGCAAAAGAAAACATGAAAACTGATTAAATTAATCAGGACTCTGTAAAGCAAAAACAAATGTTATGTCTATTGTTGCATTTTTGAGTTCAAACTATTCATAAATTTGTGTCTTCATCACATTTCGCTTGTATTTTATTGAAAATTTTCTCATCTTGATTGCTTAAGCAAAGATGCCTAGACTTTCCTCTCCCCATCCATTTGGGCAAGCTCCTCTGGGGGTGATCCTAAGGCATTCCCAGCCAGTACAGTTAAAGCCCAGTTTCCTCACTACCACCATGTAAGTACCATTACTTTACCAGTAAAACTCATGGAACTCAGTAGCAAAACATACAAAGGTCATTTCATGAAGTCAAAAGTGCAAATTCTGTCTTACCTGCTGGTTTTTGGTCATAATAATTCATGTTATAGTTAAAAAAAAACTACGTCACCTAATCACGTGGGTCCACCATGGTGGACGGCAAAAGCATGTAAACAGTGAGCGACACGAGTACTAAACAAAGGGAAAAGTAGAGCCTGAAATTGTTTTTGCGATCAAAACAAAAACAAAACTCCTCCAGGCAGCATTCCTTCAACTAGTTCATGCCCAGTTCAGTTATCAGAAGAAGTAGCGCATCTAGCGGGGCTCATAGAGAGCGGTATGCTAACTAGCTTACCAACGTTAGCTTACGTTCTCTCTGCAGCTGTTCACTGATGTAAACATGTGGCTGACTTTGCCTAAATTCACCTTGCTGGATTTATAACATTATGTTATAAACAGCGTTTCACTTTACACCAAAGCTGATTTTTAAAAAGTCCGGACCCCTACCAGCTTCTGATGCTGGCGGTTTTACCGGGTTCAGCTGCTGCTCTCACACCGGAATGAGAAGATCTCTGAACGCCAACGCTCATATAAATAAATAACGTAATTTTAACACATGTAATCATACATCGGAGCTTTAATATTGTTAATAATTGTCTCGCTTTACACTACAGTGGACGGAGCGCAGCCTCTGTGGTGAAATACCCATCCATCAGGATTATCAATAACTAGTGTAAACACATCATATTTATCCCTGTCCCGGTCTTCCTCGTGAAATAAATGAACGTTAATCTTACCCGGTAAAAACATGTTCGCTGCAAATCTGAGTCCTGCTAGTCCGCTTGATTGATCGCTGCAGTTCATCTCCGTCCTCAGTCTCCATCAAAGTTATTAAAAAAACAAAACGAGTTGAGTTTACATCCTTGTCTGTTAGTGCAGCCGACCACGCAGCAAGCTAAAACCATTTTACTGTCTAATCAACTAAATAAAAGCGATAAAAGCCTACAAAACTGGCTTGTTTTGACTAGCTTCACTGGAGTTTCTACATGTGGAAAGTCTTTTTGCCGTCCATTATGGCGAATGGGGCGGTCTCATGAGTGGCGTGACGTCACTTGCAGAGGGTCATTACCCCTGCACCCAATGGCTCTCCTATTTTGTGTATTGCAGGGGGGGATCCAGTATCCAGCATGCGCCAGTTAGTGTAGGTCTGTGTGTAAAGAAGTGTAAATAAAGTGTAAGTAACATGTTTAAACTACACTTAAATGTAGGTTACACACAGCACTTATCGTCTGTATGATGTATAGTTCATTTAGTTTAATTTTCATGTTTTTTTTAATCGAATGTGATTCTTATCTTCTTCCTCTTCCTGTGAGACTGGTGGGACGGCACCCTGGCGCCCAGTGTTGATGAGCCGCAACAGTCCAGAAACCTTATAACAGCTCCTTATCCAGCCCATTCAGCGCAGTGTCCTCCCACCATCTCCATTAAGGTGGCTTTATTAAATGTTACATCCCTTAAGTCATTTTTCGTAAATAACCTTATCCCTGCTTATGACCTTGACTGTATGCTCCAATCTGAAATATGGTTAAATGGTTGTAGCTGTGCACCAGTTCTCAGAGAATCAACACCACCAAATTTCACATCTCTAAACGTGGTTCGATCTGATGTGAGAGGCGGTGGTGTAGCTGCTCATTTTAAAGACTCATTCCTTTGCAAACGCATAGTGTATGGTAACTTTGACTGTTTTGAGTATCTATGTTTTGAATTAAAAGGTTCTCCCAAGATCTTAGTGTTAGTATTATACAGACCACAAGGTTCATGCATTCATAGAAAATTTTCCTGAGCATCTCTCTGTTATCACAACAGACTTCAATCATCATCTCATAACTGGTGACTTCAACATTCGTGTTGATGGTGCAAATGATAAAACTGCTGTACAATTCCTTGGAGTTCTTGAACTATTTGACATTGTGCAGCACAACCATGTCCCAACACACACTCAAGGTCAAAAACGAGATGCTTACCAAAGATGTTGATGCATCAGGCGTTGTTAAGGGTGTTGGCCACACTGACTATTTCTGTTGTAATGTCCAAAAGGGTCAATTTTCACCTATATATTGACCAACATAATGACCTTTCATCTACAGAAATAAATCCACTTTCTAAGTGGCCTTCTAAATCCAGAAGGTTCTGCTCAGCATTCCATGAAGACAAAACATTCAAACAAACATTCTCACATCCTAAATAAATAAAAAACTGCTACTGTTAAGCCTCTTTTAAGAAAAGTAAACTAGATCCCTTAGTGACATAATTACAGACCAATTTCTAAACTGCACTTCATTGGGAAAATGATTGAAAAAGCGGTTATGATCCAGCTGAACAACTTCTTGGAGACAAACAACCTCCTGGACGGTTTTCAGTCAGGCTGTAGACAACTTAGCAGCACAGAGACTGCGCTGATTAAAGGATTAAATGATATCCGTATCAATACAGATTCAGGTATAACATCTGTTTTAGTGATGCTCAATCTCAGAGCAGCTTTTGATACTGTGGACCACAACGTCCTTTTTGATTGGCTAATGAATATGGGTCTGACTTTCAGGTGCAGTCCATAGCTGTTCATTCATACCTCGCAGACAGGAGTTATGTTGTTTCCATTGTTGAACTCAAATCAAAGCAGATCGCCCTGACATGCGATGTCCCCCAAGGCTCGATACTTAGACCACTGCTTTTCAAATTCTATATGTTCTCTCTGGGCCAAGTTATAGACGATAACAACATCGCCTACCACAGTTATGCAGATGACACCCAGATCTACCTAGCTCTATCACATAATGAATCTGGTTCCCTAGACTCACTCTGTCAGTGCGTAGAGCAAGTTAATGACTGGACACAATCAAGTTTCCTCCAGTTAAACAAGGACAAGACTGAACTTATTGTCTTTGGAAATAAGAAGGATAGGATAGAAGTTATTTCTCAACTTAGCTCCAAAGGAATGAAGACAAAGACCCAGGTTAGGAATCTTGATGGTACCATTGATTCAGACCTGAGCTTCACTGGTCACATTGAAGCTATAACTAGATCAGCGTTTTATCATCTCCATCAAATAGCATGACTCAGAGGTCTCATGTCAAAACAAGACCCAGAGAAATGAATTCATACGTTCATCTCCAGCAAGCAGGACTATTGCAGTGGTCTTCTAACTGGTCTTTCCAAAACAGCTGTAAAACAAATGCAGCTTATCCAGAATGCTGCTTCTAGAGTCTTAACAAGAACCAAAAGAACCGAGCACATCACCCCTGTTCTTAGATCTCTGCACTGGTTACCAGTAACTACATAATTGACCTCAAAGTGATTCTACTAGTCTACAAATCTCTCACTGGCACAGGGCCTACATGTCGGATCCCCTTCCAGTATATACAACCAGCAGAGCTCTCAGATCCTTAGGAAGCAGTCAGCTGGTAGTACCCCAAGTCACCAAACAGGGTGAAGCTGCATTTATCTACTTTGCTGCACACATATGGAATCAGCTTCCTCATGACCTCAAATATGCCCCACATCTAGTAACTTTTAAATCAAAATTGAAAACCTTCATGTACTCATTAGCCTTTGAATAAATGTTTCTATGCTGCACCTTCTGGACTGTAACTAGTGATGTGTTGTTTGGGATTGAAACGGCTCTGTAAAGAAAATTGGCTGGCTCAGCCATATTGTAAGGAGAAACTGTCTTTACTCAGTTATATTGTAGCGTTGTGGTTTTATGCTCTTTTATGAAAGAGGAACCATGCTATGTATTAATTCGGAATATTAATTTTTAATAAATCAATAACCAAATTTTATATTGTTCAGAAGACTCAAAGGTTGTTTTCATCGATAAACTGCCGATAACATCTGTGTGTCTGTGTTTCAGTTCAATGAGGAAACCAGTTTGACAATTAAAAGTTTTAATTCTTCAAATTAAACTAATGATTTTGAAATTGACAAACAGGAAATAACAATCAACATTGGCAACTTGTGGGACAATCTTTAACAGTTGATATGATCAAATAGACCTTGTGGTGAATTTATGAAGATTGAGAATGTCGTAACATGAAAGCGTGTGTGAGTCTGATTTTCAGGTGTCTGAGTGAAGTGATGGTTTGGATAAACTTAGGTCTTATCAGAGAACTGCATCAAACGCTAAACACCGTGCTCCGTCTCACCGAACTCTTGTGGACCCTCTTTCGGATCCGGGCCGTGGAGGATGGTGGTGGTTCATCCAGATGACACCAGCGGCTGACAGGGGAGACGTAGGTGTCGAACGGAACCGGTCCAGAGTTGCCCTCGGTACACGTTGATGGTAAAGCGTTTTGTCGACGCGCTTTCTTAAGTTAATTCACTCAGAATCAAAGACTCTGTAGGAGTATGCGTTAGAAGTTGCGATTCAGCTATTCTATCTGGCTGACAGGAACAGCGTGGGAGGGGGGGGAGAAACGAGCCAACCGGCTCCCCCCTTTTAGCGGTTGTTCACACGTCCTCTCTCTTTCGTTGTCAAGCACGAACTGCAATCATAAGACTGAAACTTACCAAAAGCCTTTCTCTTCTCAAAGCAAAACGTGTGCGTCAGCAAATGTGTTTTGAGTTTACTGTGAGAATCTGTGTGTGGGTGTGTGTGCTTGAGTGTGTGTGAAGGTCAGCAACAAACATCCTCAAACACTATCTAATTAAGTATGGATTCATTAAATCTCTTATAATTACCCAAAGCATAAGAACCATTCATTTGATTAAAACACATTTATAATGAGCAAAATGATAATGGTTATTCTAACATTAAAATCAAGAAACAAAGTTTTAAGACTTGTTATGTTATGACTACTTTTATGGGAACAACATCTTCTGTGGGAACAACATCTTCTGGCACGAAGCTGCAGGTGGCAGATGTTATGGTTTCCTCCCAGACTCGCTGGCGTTCAGGTCTTAATCTGTGGGTGAAAGTTCTCAGCGACCCAGCTTTGACCCAGCTGAGTCCAACACCACCTTTGTGACAGAAAACCCATATTTCCTCACGTTACAGATCTTAAAGCCGACTTTGGAGTGACCGATCAGAGCCGACCCCATCTCGGAGGAGCTGAATCAGTCTTTTTTCCCTCCTCTCTCTCTCTCTCTCTCTCTCTCTCTCTCTCTCTCTCTCTCTCTCTCTCTCTCTCTCTCTCTCTCTCTCTCTCTCTCTCTCTCTCTCTCTCTCTCTCTCTCTCTCTCTCTCTCTCTCTCTCTCTCTCTCTCGTTTGAGCCGCACATGATTGGTCAACTCCTCGATGAGCCCACTGCCCCCCTGACTTGTCAAATTTCATGAGCCAAACCTCCAGCTCCTTGTCAGACTTGTGCATGGCAGAAGAGTATTTCAGAGAAGCATCAAACAGCTTTCCCAAGCTCTTCACTGGTTGCTCACTGATGGAAGGGATGACCATTCCAGCCAAGGGGAAACTAAATTTGTCCCAGAACTGACCCTCAACCTGAAATTATTATGATAATCCAGGATCATGCCCTTGATTGCACTGGGGACACGATGACAGTGTAATGCCAAATTACATTTCATTACATATATGTTGAAACACTGATAGAAACGTTCCTAACTTTGTGATGTATGAATTTGATCTTATTGTGGCAAGGTGGAGAAACGAGGGCCCGGGCGGGATTCGATCCCCAGACTCCCAGGTGAGAGTCACACGTCAGCCAAAGGGACATCCCATTGGCCAAGTAGCCAGGGTGCATGATCAGTTGGGACACTGTGACAGGACACTCACACTGCCACATCATGTTACCTTAACTTATGTGTATTTTACTTTATGGCATTCTCTAAACAAGAAAATATACCACTGATCATAAAAGCTGGTAAAAAAAGTAATAATAATAAAATAAAATAAAATAGCAGGGTTCATGCTGCTATCTGAGAGTTCAAAATTTAAATTGTTTATTTAAAATTGTTTACCTAAGTCATTTTGAAGTTCAAGTTTTGTAAAAAAAATTAAATCAATTCTAATACTTTAAAAAAATCTTATTTTTTTACAGGCTTTAATACTAAATACCAACCAGATAGTGAAAGCTGAGGTTGTTCTGAAAAAGAGCAAAGTTACAAGCATTTGGAACTTTTTTATTACAATTTTACAGCCATAAAGTTATAAAATACCAGACGGCCCAGTTATAATTATGGTGATAAAAAAGGGTTGAGATGGAACGAATGTGCAGGTCAACGCTTGGACCAGTAGGTGGCAGTAATGTACATCACGATGTAGGCAACTGCAATAAAACCATGAAGAAGCAGAAGCTCCTCCTCCTCCAGAAGCTAGCAGGTTGTAGCAGCAGCGCTGTAAACCATCACCAGGCTATGGAAACTTTCTTCCCCTCCTCAACAGTTTGACACCAGAGAAGATATTCTGCGGTCTTCGTGTCAATCGGAGCTCCAGAATCAGGTTGTGGGTGAGAAAAGCTTTTCTCTAGACTTCCTGCCCTCTGGATCTGCTGCTGTTCCTTTGGCCTCTCTGAGAAACGCTCGTTTTGCTGCTTTCATCAGATTGAAGAGGTTCCCTCTATCAGACTCGCTCATCTGAGCTGGTCATGATGCAGGATCGGTTCTTCTGAAGGGAAAACCAAGAGGATCTGGCTGCAAACAACAAGATGACGGAAGTAGGTACAGCCACGGGCGGAAGAGTTTTTATTCCTCTTACAAAACTTTATTTAGACTTTATTTCTCCTTCCATCTGAACGGGAGAACGTGTAAAAATTCTCATTTTGAAAATGTTCCAGTGATTATAACAAGAACATGTTTTAAAACCTACATTCATATTTTTAATTGGAACAGAAATCCCTTTACTTTCCCTCAGAGGGGAAATGTAAGTGTAACAGCACTACAGTGAAATGGTAAATGGCCTGTATTTGATATAGCGCCTTCTAGAGTCCTGGAACCCCCCAAGGCGCTTTACAACACAACCAGTCATTCACCCATTCACACACACATTCACACTCGTGGGGATGAGCTACGATGCAGCCACAGCTGCCCTGGGGCACACTGACAGAGGCGAGGCTGCCGAGCACTGGAGCCACCGGTCCCTCCGACCACCACCAGCAGGCAACGTGGGTTAAGTGTCTTGCCCAAGGACACAACGACAGCGACAGACTGAGCGGGGCTCAAACCTGCAACCTTCCGATTGCTGGGCGAGCACTTAACTCCTGTGCCGCCGTCGCCCCGTAACTGATGCTGTAGTAAATAAAAATACACGTGTAAGAAATTTCATCAGTAACCCCCAATAGTAACACATTTAATAATTGACTTCCCAAGATGTGTGTGTAAAATAGCACTTGATAATTATTCATTCTTATTTTTACTTCATATTTCTTTAACAAGACCAATCATTCTGTTTAACATTCAGGCTGAACACGTCTCCTCCCTCATTTACTGCGTTAGCTGCTGATTAGAGAAGACGTTAATTGAATGTCACATTGTAAAGTTAGCATTCATGAAGTCAGCCATCTTGGCTGGTGACAGGGAAGGCTGTTGCTGATTTAGTGTCCAGGAGACGGCAGAGCACACCTCGGCTAGTGGAAGCTAACCGCTAGCATTGACTCCACAAGTTAAACAAAAATCTATGTTGCAAAACAAACAGTCTGTGGTAGAGGTGTGTCGCTGTTAGCCACCTCCCTTTATCCCGTCTTGGTTGGAGAGGTGCCTGATGGCAGTTTATTCTAGCGTCAGCTTTGCTACTATAAATGCCAAAATCCTCCCCAGGGAGTCACGGCAAATCCTGTTATGCAAACGCTATGGTCCTGTAAAAACATCTATTGCTTGAAATCACTGAGATGAGTAACTGAACCCCAATCCACACTGGAGGTGACTCAAGACTTCAAAGGTTGTTTTATGCTCATAGACAACATTGGGTGATGGAGAGCGTAACAGTGTCTTTGCCATATTAGGTGGGTCTCTCACTCTCCAAACCCAACTGGAGCCGTGTGGGTTCTGAAGACACGTCAGACTGATGACATTTCTTTTTCAGAACCTTTAGCTTTAATGTGACCTGCTTTTTGTCCCGCTTGATGCCCCGCTCAGCCAGTGTTTTCACCACTCTGTCGAACAGCTGGCTGTCTCTCACCGTCCCCGTAAAAAGGCGACTAATCTGTTCGTCTGCTCGCCAAAAGCTCCATGGTCTCCGCGTCCGTCCAGCCGGCTTTCCTTCCGGCCGGCACTCAGCGCGCAGTACACGTGACTAACGCGACCACCCTCGTTTGCGGGGCGGGGGCTCCCACAGTCGCTCCAAAGGGATTAGCGGGGCTGACACGCGTTTAGCCATCAGAGGCGAGGGGCTGATGCGGCAATATTACTACCAAGCGAGATGGAACGAATGCCGCAATATTCGCGCAACGCCATGCCGGCATGGCGCTTTTACAGACATACCACTGCGGTAATATTACGCCAATATGCCGACATGGTGTGTCCTAAATAAGCACCTAATAATACAACTGTTATGTGTGTGTGAACGAAAGTTACAGCGATCAGTAAGTCACATCATGTGTTTCCTACAACTGTTCAACAGATGGCGCTGGTTAAAGAAGAAGCTCCTGAAGAACAGAGAGATGGTGTGGATCAGCAGGACCCAGAACATCTTCACATAAAGGAGGAACAGGAGGAACTCTGGATCAGTGTGGAGGGAGAGCAGCTCCATTTGAAGAAGGAGATTGATGTGGTCGAGGTTCCACTCACTACAGTTTCTATAAAGAGTGAGGATGATGAAGAGAAACCTCTGTTCTCAGAGCTTCATCAGCAGCAAACAGAAGACGGTGATGTCCCAACCAGCAGCTCAGCTGACCAGATTACAGCAGAAACTTGGAGGAGCCCAGATCTAAACCCATGTGAACAGACAGATACTTCAGAGACGGAAGTTAGTACCGTGGATGAAGAGAATGGTGATGTGAATCTAGACTCTGAGCTGTCAGACTTCTGGCCTGAAAATGACGATGACTGGAATGAGAGCAGGACTTCTGACTCAGATGTTAAAAAAACTATCAACAAATCCTTTAGCTGCTCTGAGTGTGGTGAACATTTTCTCCGCAGGTGGTCTCTCCAGATTCACGTGAGAGAGACGAGTCATTCAGCAATAGGGTCTTCAGGCTGTTTGGTTGATCAGAAATGTGATGTAGAGAAGCAACATGTAGACTCATGCAGGAATGTCAAAACAAAACTAAAATCCTTTGTTTGTAATGACTGCGGAAAAGCATTTAGGGGAAAATCAAATTTAAAGAACCACGTGACGGTTCACACAAGAGAGAAGCCTTTTGCTTGTGAGCTGTGTGGACAAAGATTAAGCTGTAGGAAAACATTAAACAATCACATGAGAGTCCACACAGGTGAGAAGCCTTTTGCTTGTCAGCTTTGTGACCAAAGATTTAGCCAAAAGACAAGTTTTAACAGACACAAGAAAGTCCACACAGGACAGAAGCCTTTTGTCTGTGAGCACTGTGAACAAAGATTTAGCCAAAAGACGCATTTAAATAGACACATGATTGTCCACACGGGACAGAAACCTTTTGCCTGTGAGCTCTGTGGACAAAGATTTAGCCAAAAGGCAAGTTTTAACAGACACAAGAAAGTCCACACGGGACAGAAGCCTTTTCCTTGTGAGCTCTGCGGACACAGATTTGCCCGAAAGACAACTTTAGACATACACATGATAGTCCACACAGGACACAAATAAGTCTTTAAAGTGTAAAAGTGTAATGTGGTGTAAGTGGTTACTTTTAATATATGACCAGTAAGATGTGATATACCTTATAAATATGAATTATCAATATTATTGATCTTTTGAAATTTGATCAGAGGTTAAATCAGGTCTTTCTGGGAAATCACACCTTTGTAACAATTTGAAACAGAGGCATAAATATAGTTTGTAAAAATCTATTTAATACTTTATTCCTACTACTAATGAATGATGATTGAAACAAGATAACTGAGACAATAAATGAAATGATGGAATATGAGCTTAGATGTTACGTAGCAAAATCTCGTTAAGAAAATTTTGATGTCTGGGTTGTAAAATAAGTGACTGTATGGCTTAACAAATAATCAGTTCAGTCTACAAACCCTCGTGGTGAAGACCCCGCCATGATCCATGGGGCTGGAGAAGTCGATATGGGCAGACTGCCACTGGAGTAGACTTCTGTGGTCTGTGGAGCACGTAGTTCCACCCCAAATACGAACGGTCTGGTCTGAGACGCCTTCCAGGTGACTGCTGGAAGCCGGCAGAACTATTTTGCAACTGATGCCGCTTTGCAAAGGTTTGACCTGGAGGACAGTTCCTTATGCTCTACTGACACAGTCGGCCAAACCGGGCAGCTAGCTAGAATTGAAGAGTTCAGGAATTGGACTCTTATTCAGTCATTCAATCAAGTTTGTTGGTAAAGCACTTTCCACAACCATGGAAAGTGACCGAAGTACTTTACAGGACATAACAATAAAATAAATTACATAAAATCAGCGCAAGTAAAAACTCATAAAACAATAACGTACAAGTAAATACAACATATAGAGTGACATATCTATTAACTATCATTTATCAATTTGGACAAATTAGAATTTGATGAATTTAAAGTGGGCTTTGTCAAAGCCCTCAGACACCACTCTCACTCAGACACTTAGGTCAGGCATATTTCTTATTAAGTAAAATGTCACACATTTATCTGAAGTGCATATATTAGCCATTAATAATATGGTAATATTAATATGTAAGTATACTGATTAACATTACAGTTACAAATATATGAATCTGATGTGATTTAAGATCTGGAATGAGTCATAAGAAAACACTTTTTTTTCTTTTTTTTTCATTCAAAATAAAAACAAATAAAACATAAACAATAACAAATACTTCAGCTACCAGGCCCAGGCCTGCTCCAGCTACCAGGCCCGGCTCTACTGGGGTGAGTCAGTAACAATGCCTCCAAAAAGAAACAATATGGCTGAGGAGGAACTGGAAGAGATAAAGAAATCACTGAGCTTTATGTCAGAAGAAATTACAACAGTCTCTAAACAGCAGAAAGCGATAATGGAATTAGTGGAGGAGGTTAAAGTCCTAAGAAGAAAAAATTAGGAAAAGGACAGGAAAATCACCTTACTGGAAGAAAGAGTGTCAGAACTGGAACAATATTCAAGAATAAATGATGTAATAGTGACAGGACTTGAAACAACACACCAAACTCATGCAAGAGCAACAGCTACAGAGAGTGGAGAACCACCTGAACAAGAATTAAACAACTTAGAAAGGCAGGTAATGGACTTCCTTGGTAGCAAAGGGATACATCTAGAGGCCAAGGACATAGAGGGATGTCATCCTTTTCCACGTAAAAATAACAATCAGAAGCCTGCAATCCTTATCAGGTTTATGAACAGAAAACACAAGAAAGAACTGCTTAAACAAGGAAGGAAGCTGAAGGGAACCAATGAATGAACACCTAATCAAGAAAAATGCAGACATTGCGAGGCAAGCGAGACTTCTGAGAAAGCAAAAGAAAATACAGTCAACATGGACTTCAAACTGTAAGGTATTCATTAAACTGAATGGGTCTCCGGAGCAGGCAAAGATTCTGATCATTAAGGAACTAACAGAAGTAGAAAATACAAGTGATAAATGAGTATATAAAACAAGTTTACAAACTATAGTTAAGATCATCAGAATTTATGCTTCCAAACTTATCTTGGATACTGTAAAAACAACATGGATAACTCACTTTAATATTGGTCTTGATTCAAACTGGCAAAAATCACTCAACTGAAATAGATACAGATGATAAAATATATGACATTGACAATAAAATAGATGGAAATTTAAATGAATTGAACATAAGTTGTGATTACATTGGAGACGAACAATTGAACTGTGGGAGAATGACTAAGGACACAATGTCACTTATCCCCATTAATAGTAGAAGCTTATTTCCTAAGTTATTAATTATCAAAAATTATTTAAATAAATTCAAAAACAAATTTAGTGTGATTGCTATAACAGAGACTTGGCTCAAAGATGATATGGATGAAGTACAAATGGAAGGGTATGAACTTTATTTTGTAAATAGAAAAAATAAAACAGGTTGTGGGGTTGCCCTGTACATTAAATCAGATCTAAAATGTAAACTAGTTAAGGAAACGACAATGATGGAAGATAATGTTATGGAGATTGTAACGGTAGAAATCAGCAATGAAGCTGCTAAAAATACTTTAATTAGTTGTGTTTATAGAGCACCAGGATCATGTATTGGGACATTTAATGAAAAAAATTATTGAATTGGTTGATCACATTAAATACAAAACAGTATTTCTATGTGGGGACTTTAATATTAATTTAGAACATGTGGCTGGACAGATGATTAAGGATTTTGCAGATTCACTGTATAGTGAAGGTTTATTTCCCTTCAGGATCCTGGTTCTGGTCTATAGGGCCTTACATGGACAAGCACCATCTTACATTGGTGATCTTCTTAGTCCCTACACCCCCAGCAGGTCCCTGAGGTCCAGTGATCAAAGCCTACTGGTTGTGCAAAAGACCAAAGGTGACAGATCATTTGCTGCTGTGGCCCCCAGACTCAGGAACTCTCTCCCCCTGAGCCTGAGATCAGTGGACTCAGTGGACTCCTTTAAAAAGCAGCTGAAGACTCACCTGTTCACGCTGGCTTTTGTATGACCTTCTTCACCACTCTCTCTTTATTCTGCTCTCCCCACCTATTCCACCTTCCTCAGGATCCACTGATTTCCCTCTTTCCTATTCACTCTCTCTCTCTTTAACACTTTTTTTAATCACAATTGCCTATTTTTGCTCATTTTAAATATATTTTCAAACATTTTCTAAATGTTTTTTTATATTTTTACATTTTTTGTTTTTGTGAAGCGCCTCATGGTTTTTATCTTGAGAGGCGCTATAGAAATTATATTTTCTTCTTCTTCTTCTATGAAGCCAACTAGAATTACATCTCGGACTGCAACAATCATTGATAATATTCACTAACAATGAGGATGATGTCAGGAAAACTGGGATATTAATGACGGATATTGGTGACCACCTACCTGTTATCGCAGTCTTCAAATACAAACGTTCCATAAAACAAAACATCACCATGATCTACTGAAGAGATAAATCAGTTAAAGCCATGGAGGCATTAAACAAAGATCTTAATAAACAAAGTTGGAAGGAGGTATACGTCAGTGATGTCAACGCTGCATACGCATCCTTCATGAAAATACTGTTGAAGTCATATAATGATTACTGCAAATTAATCATATTTACAGGTAAAAGGGAAAATCAACCTTGGATGACTAAGGGATTAAAGAATGTGTGCGCAAAAAAGAATAATTTATATAGGAGTTTTTTGAAATTGCAAACAAGGGAAGCAGAAGATAGATATAAAAAACATAAAAATAAATTGGTGACAATAATTAGGGAGCAAAAAAAAGATTATTATGGTAATCTATTGAATAAAAATAAAAATAACACTAAAGCTACTTGGGGAATAATAAACAGTGTGACTAAGAGAGAGAAAACAAAATCCAGTATTCCAAATCACTTTGTCGAGGACAGAAAAGATATTTATGATGATAAAGAAATCACTGATGAGTTTAAGGATTTTTTTTGTAAATGTAGGTCGGAGTTTGATGGAGAAAAAAACCAATAATAGAAGATTAATTGATCACAATGATTAGTACTGTCAATAGTATTGTCCTTGACAAAGTAGATAAAGAAGAAATACGAAACATTGTAAAAAACTGTGGAAACAAACGATCAACCGATTATCAGGACCTGGACATGATAACTGTAAAAATCATCATAGAATCTGTCATTGAACCATTCACTTACAATTGTGATCTATCACTTTCTACTGGAAATTTTCCTGACGCAATGAAAACAGCGAAAGTCATTCCTTTGTATAAGAGTGGTGATAAACATACTTTCAATAATTACAGGCCGGTGTCACTGCTTCCACAGTTTTCTAAAATATTGGAAAAAGTATTCGTATAAATGTTAGATAAATTCATCGAAAAAAATACTATTTTAAACAATGAACAATATGGGTTTAGAACTAAACATTCCACAGCAGTGGCAATAATGGAATTAACGGATAAAATGTCAACAGCAATTGACAATAAAAATGACTTTGTTAGTGTTTCCATTGATTTGAAATAAGCTTTTGACGTCATTGACCACTCAAGGTTACTTCGAATATTAAGTCAGTATGGAATAAGAGGTGTGGCTCATCAATGGGTTAAAACTTATTTAGAAAAAAAGGAAACCGTTTGTTTAGATAAAGGACCATAAATCAAAACTATGTGAAATTAATTATGGAGTGCCACAAGGGTCGGTCCTTGGAACAAAACATTCATTTTGTTTATTAACGACTTGGTAAATGTATCTAAGACACTCGGTACCATTCTATTTGCAGATGATACAACACTGTTTTACTCAGGATCAAATATTGAGGAGGTGGCTAAAGTGATGAATGATGAACTGATTAAAATTTAAAACTGGTTTGATATAAATAGATTGACACTGAATCTTAATAAAACAAATTTTATACTGTTTAATGATAAAAAGAACAGTGATGTGTCATTGGAAATAGATGGGATTGCAATTCAAAGAGTAAAAGAAACTAAATTTCTTTGAGTTCTTATTGAAGACTTGTCATGGAAATCTCATATTAGTTACATAAAAGGTAAAATTGCCAAATCCTTAGGAGTATTACAGTCAAGTTTTTACTGACTAATTCTGGTTTGTTGGCATTGTACAATTCACTGATTGGTAAATGATAAATGGTAAATGGCCTTTATTTGATATAGCGCCTTCTAGAGTTCTGGAACCCCCCAAGGCGCTTTACAACACAATCAGTCATTCACCCATTCACACACACATTCACACACTGGTGGGGATGAGCTACAATGTAGCCACAGCTGCCCTGGGGCGCACTGACAGAGGCGAGGCTGCCGAGCGCTGGCGCCACCGGTCCCTCCGACCACCACCAGCAGGCAACGTGGGTTAAGTGTCTTGCCCAAGGACACATCGACAGTGACAGACTGAGCGGGGCTCGAGCCTGCAACCTTCCGATTACGGGGTGAGCACTTAACTCCTGTGCCACCGTCGCCCCATCCAGATTGTTCCATACTTGACTTTTTGTGTAGAAATCTGGGGAGCAACATACAAAAATTATACACAACTCATTTATTCTACAGAAAAGAGCTCTGAGAATCATCAATTATAGTGGCTGTAGAGATCCATCAAACCCATTGTTTATTAATTATAAATTACTGAAATTTCATGATTTAAAAGACTGGAAAATCATACAAACCATGTATAAAGCCAATTTAGGTACTCTGCCAACAATCATTCAGGGGATATTTGCAAAGAGAACTAGTAATTACATGCTGAAAGAAACTGATGTGTTTACAAAACCTAGATTTAGAAATAAAATTAAGGAATGGAATATATCTGTAAATGGTGTCACATTATGGAATAACCATGAAAAAAAGGGAAATTTAAAAAACTCTGTCATTTAATATATTCAAAAAATGTACCAAATTGAGTGTACTAAATAATTATGAAAATGTCAATTAAATCAATGATCCTGATCGCACTGGAATTTAGAACAGGAAAAAGTTTTAAATGAATCTGTATGTGTGTCTGGCAAATGGAAATTATATATAAATTGATTATTTCTACTGGAAAAGGGGGCAGAAATTATAAGATGTTTTTCTTCATTCTGCTCCTTTTTGTTCAAATATGATTTTTTGTTACGTATTTCTTATTGTTTATATTTTTTATTTGTTTTTATTTTGAATGAAAAAAACAAAGAAAAAATGTGTAACAAAAAATCATATTTATTATGATTTATTTATTTGTTATTATTTGAGAAATGAAAATAAAGGGTAAACAATCATGACTGCTGGTCAAAATGACAAGAAAAATATGACCTCTGCATGTAGGTATTGTTTCTGTACCTGCTTGTAACTTATACTGATAATAACTTGTTTAATTAAGGCCCATCCAAAAATTGAAACCTGGTCCAGCACCTGTGTTAGTGGAGTAATGTTTTTGAACGGCTACTTTTTACTTTTACTTGACTTTAAATATGTTAAAGCAGTGCTACGCTTACTCTAGCCAACTATTTTTGGCAGTAATGAAACACTTCATTTGTTTCTTTTAAGGTTGTAGGGATCAAAGTTGTTGATTGTTGACAGTTTCTGAAAATACCGATCTCTATCCTCCTTCACAAGTTTGTCCCTAAGGATGCGTTGATCCTTGTTCTTTTCATCCACCATTTTGACTTTGTGCTGCTTCAACTTCGAATCAGCGTTGATTTTACGGTAAAACGCAAGCAGCTGGGGTTGCCGAAATTGTACCGTGCAATTACGGGTGTTGGGTTATTTTAGCAGCAGAGGTTACCTAGAATGAATCACAAGCACAGGTGGAAGATATATAACTTTTATTTTGTCTCTGCAGAGGGAGAAATGCGAAAACCAAGAATGAACCAACCCAGTGTGGAGTTCAGCAGATCTCAAAGAGCTGCTCCTTCCGTGCGCCTTTTATTCAGTTACAGAGTTTCATAACACATTCCTTTACTAATGATAAATGACAACTTTATCCGGGAAGTTCCTTTCTTTTACTTGGTGTTCCGGGCATTGAGCCAAACCGGGAGTCCGACTATCTGGTGGTGTCCTTCAGCAGGGTCGATCCGACCCAAGTGAGAATACATGAACTTTAGTTAAACTGCAATTGTTTTTACAAAACGCGGATGCTCCCCAAAATGAAAAATAGTATGTACGTAAGTAGATACGGCCTTGTCATTTATAATGTGAGGTTACAGAAAGTGCATTACTAGATTTTCTCTAACAACGGGCAAATCTTTGTTTCTTTTACGGTAAAAAGGTATTTTTATTGTTACGTTTAAATTGGTTCTGAAGTCAGTTTATGTTTATGTTTACTGATTTAGCAGACGCTTTTATCCAAAGCAACTTACAATTTATAACCTATAGGGCATGTTGTGATCTGTGGGGGAAACCGGAGTATCCGGAGGAAACCCACGCATGCATGGGGAGAACACGCAACTCCACGTAGAAAGAAAGGCCGCAGCCGAGTGTCGAACCTGCGACCTCGTGCTGCGAGGCAACAGTGCTAACCACTGCACCACCATGCAGCCATGCAGTTGTTAACTGTAGAAGAAAATGTTTTTAGTTGAAAAAAAAATAAAGGCATTCATGTGTCAGGTCAAGAACAAACACTTCCCTCGCGGGTTCAGCCTGATCTCTCCTAACTGCCGCTAAGCACACTGGGAAAAAGGAAGTAAACTCCTCACACCATTACCATTAATAAAAAGCTGTATTTTTTAAAATAAATAAATGTGAAAATGATAAGTGTTTTACCATTGTACATTTTAAGGAATTTTTCCATAAAGAAAACTGTGCTAGAGTGCTTTACAGTAGACTTATGTAGTTTTTACAAAGGAAAAAAAAGTACAAATTACTGTTTTCACCAGTTCATTTATTTACAGCAACGTCACGTTAAATCGACAGTTTAGAGAGTTTTATTTATTTACGGTTTATCGCTGTTAAAAATTCGGCTCTTTTTTTAAACAGTGTAGGGGGAGCAGTTGACAGATAATGCGGGACAGTCTCAATTTACAGGACGTGTGAAAAGTAATGAAAATGCGGGACTGTCTCACACAAAGCTTGACTTCTGCTCACCCTATTGCAGGCATGGTCATTATTATCCTTTATCTGGCTTATTGATATATCGCTGATAGAAACGTGCCTACATTTGTGATGTATGAATTTTATCTTATGTTATGTATTTTACTCTATGGCATTCTATAACGAGAGAATTTACCTATACCCGGTCATAAAAACTGGCAAAAAAAATAGGGTTCACATGTCTGAGTGTTTGCAATAGATTCATTTGAAATTGTTTACCCAAATCATTTTGAAGTTCAGGATTAGTAATAAATGTAAAAATAAAAAAATTCTAATACCTTTAAGCTTCTTTTTTTCAGGCATTAATAGACTTAAATACTAAATACCAACCAGACACTGAAAGCTGAGGTTGTTCTGAAAAAAGAGCAAAGTTACAAAAATTTGGAACTTTTTTATTACAATTTTACAGCCATAAAGTTATAAAATACCAGACGGCCCAGTTATAATTATGGTGATAAAACAGGGTTGAGATGGAAAGAATGTGCAGGTCATCGCTTTGACCAGTAGGTGGCGGTAATGCACGTAAAGACGTAGGCAACAGCAATAAAACCACAAAGAAGTAAAATCTCCTGCAGAAGCTAGCAGGTTGTAGCAGCAGCGCTGTAAACCATCACCAGGCTGTGGAAACTTTCTTCCCCTCCTCAACAACTTAGTGGAGCTCTTTCCAGAACCGGGGAAGATATTCTGCGGTCTTCGTGACAATCGGAGCTCCAGAATCAGGTTGTGGGTGAGAAAAGCTTTTCTCTAGACTTCCTGCCCTCTGGATCTGCTGCTGTTCCTTTGGCCTCTCTGAGAAACGCGCTCGTTTTGCTGCTTTCATCAGATTGAAGAGGTTCCCTCTATCAGACTCGCTCATCTGAGTTGGTCATGATGCAGGATCTGTACTTCTGAAGGGAAAACCAAGAGGATCTGGCTGCAAACAACAAGATAACGGAAGTAGGTACAGCCACGGGCGGAAGAGTTTTTATTCCTCTTACAAAACTTTATTTAGATCAGAACGGGAGAATGTATAAACATTTCATTCATTCTCATTCCACTGACCATACAAATACGTGACCGACGCTGCTGCTGTGTCGCTCAGTGCCAAGGCGCCAAACTGTGTTTATAAGGCATCGACTCTGCATCTGTAACGGGACGAGTCGCGTGAAAAGAAGAAAATTACCATTTGAAAGATAAAACAAGACATCCCTCTCTCCATCAAGAAAATGGAGCCAGAGAGAAAAAGAAAAGTTTCCGCTGTGTGGGATCATTTTGATCTTTTATCTGTAAATAAGGTACGTGTTGGTCTTTCCCTGTTTCTGCGCATCTGTCAGAGTTGATAACAGCAATGTGACTGACTCTCAGTGTAAATTATTTATTTAATCTTATTTAGGTTAAATGTCGCATCTGCTCAGCGAAGTTGTCTTATACAAATAAGAGCACTTACGCAATGCTGAGACATTACAGAGTCAAGCATGCAAACGAAGAGGAAGCAAATACACCAAGAACGAACACAGGTAGACCTCTATAGACACTGGGCGTGCTTTCTCACAACTGTTTTACTAATACATGTTTTATTATTTTGAAATCTAGAATCTAGGAAGATTGCTCTGGACCAAGCAGTCCTGAACTTTATTATAAAGGACTGCCAACCCCTGAGCATTGTGGAGAGCGAGGGGTTCAGGGGGTTGATTCAGGTCCTTGATCCATCTTACGCTTTGCCAACCAGAAAGGTTTGTTTACACAATGTCTCAGACAGCTGCTGTTACTCATGTAATATATACAGTGCTTAACAAATGTATTAGACCAGTGGTTCCCAACCTCTTTCCCAAGGGACCCCGTTTTTTACCAGTAAAATTTCTGACGACCCCCTCCCATTCTCTCTTCCAGTACAAACATTATTAAGAAATGATAAAATTGTTCAAGCACATTTTAATATGCTTTGATTCAATAGATAACAGTAATAGTAGGCTCCAGTACAGAACAAAGTCATTAACAAAACCAAACAGAGCATAGTGTGCTTGACAGTTTGTATTACTTTTCTGAACACATTGTTTCTTGTAAACACGGATAAATCAATCATTCCTTTCAATCAACGTTTGACACATAAAAAATACACTGAGCAAAATGTACTTAAATGTGTATATTACTGTTTATACTAGATTATTTACTGTAAACGCTGTGATTAATCTATATCTTTAATGAACTTTTGACACTTGAAAATAAAACAGTGAGCTGAGCAAAATGTTCTTAAAAGTGTGTTACTTTTTCTGTACTAATTATTTCCTGTCTTAATATCAGTAAACTTTTCACTCATGAAAAAAAAATGTGAGCAAAATGTAGGCTATAAACAAGTAATAAATGAAGTTTTAACCCCTTAAAGTGGAGTGGTCCGGGCGACCCACTGAGAGGCTTTGGCGCCCCCTTGTGGGGGTCGGGACCCCCAGGTTAGGAACCACTGTTCTAGAGACCATTGTCTGATTTAAGGTTTATGACACAGCAAACAAAAATAAACACTTGTGATTCAAACATCATTCATGCTTGAGTAATTTCCGTCCGATGTGTCGGCTCACATTTGGGTACAAAACTGGATTCAGTTTTAAATTCCTACCTTCTATTCAACAGGGCAAAACACAGAGAGCTTCATAGCTGGATGTTTTTCTTGCTTTAATGACAGGTGGTCTAATTAATGTGTTGAGTACCAGACTGATTTGATGTTGATTCATTTTCAGACGGTTAAGGAAATGATGGCCAAAAGACATGCGGAGGAACTCGAACGAGTAACAAGGGAAGTACAGCAAGCTGTGGCAGTGAGTATAACAGCTGACCTCCTTGAACATGGAGGCTTATGGGCCATTCCCATCTGTACCGGGTCGGCCCGGGCCGGGTAGCCCCAGTCGGCCCCAGTCTGGCCCGGTTGATTCCACACATCCTTGTCTTAAGCCCATGTGGGCTGGTTCTACCCACCAATCAGAGGCTTGCTCTAATGGAAGGTGTGAATTTGCTGTCAGCAGTGGGTGTGTTGGTCCTGGTCGGCCTGAAGCAGACCCCCTCGAGAAGAGGGCTGAGAATGAGCCTTGGTTGGCCCGGAAAAATACCAGGCCACCCAGATATGTGAACAACCTACGCTACCCGGCCCGGGCCGACCCGGTACAGATGGGAATGGCCCATTACTTAGCTCTTACCTGTCACTACATCAGTGATAATATGCAGTTGTGTACATCTGTGTTGTGAGTCAAACACTTTCCACAAAGTCACACTGCTGACACTCTGGCCCAAGTCAAAAGGGACATGATGGACGACTGGGCCATAACAAACAAGGTAAGGTGTCTTGTGACCGACGCAGCACCAAACATGATGGCAGCAACACGAACTCTTCAAATTCGACATTCAATCTGCATTAAATTTAATAGTCAAAAAATCCTGAACTTTCATTCATAAGACACAAATCTAGGCAGATCGTATCGTTCTTCAGGTCCAGCACCGCAGCAAAAGAGAAGCTTGCTCAAGTGCAGCAGCAGACGGGACGGCCCACCTTGAAACTTGTCACTGAGGTCAGGGTATCCGCGGGTCCTTAAAAAGTCTTAAATTTGCTTTTCCAAATGTAAGGCCTTGAAAATCCTTAAAAATGACAAATAATCCTTAAATCCAGTTTCCAAAGGTCTTAAATTACCAAAGACCCAATAAACAAGATTATTTTATTTCTATAAAAAATTTCGTGAATTTCTCGTCAGTGTTCAGCATTTTTTGTGTATGATGTTGGCGTAAGCGGAACCGTACACATTCAGTTGGTTGTGAAAGGGGGCTGTTTTTAGATGAGCACATTAGCTGGTTAAGCTAGTGGGAGCTTGCGCCATGGGGAAGTGCAAGTTTAATGGTAACTGGATGGCTAATCCCACGTTCACGACGTGGTTAGCACCGGCCCCAGGCAATAGCTGGAAATTATAGCTTAAATTTGGTCAAAGTGGCCTTAAAAAGGTCTTAAAAAGTCTTAAATTTGGCTCCTTTAAACCTGCAGATATCCTGTGAGGTACCAACACGTTGGAACAGCACATATCAGATGCTGTCACGGCTACATGATGAGAAAGAACCAGTGTGGGTATCTCTTGCCTCTCCAGACAGATTTAACTCCACTCACAGCTGATGAGTTCAACATCTTAAGGGAAGCACTTCTTGTGCTGGCCCCTTTCCAGTGGAGTTGTCTGAGGAGAGGAGAGTTTCAGGATCAAAGGTCATCCCGATGATGAAAATGCTAAATTGTGCACTTGAGCGGAACTCTTTACATCTACACACACAAGCAGCCACACGTCTCCATGACCAGCTTAGACGTCGCGTCACAGACACTGCTTCCAATCTGGAGTCATTAAGTGTGTTGACCCTATCAACACTTTTAGACCCCAGATTTAAAACACTCGGATTTCCTAGTTCCTCCAAGTGTAGTGAGGCTGTCAGTCGCCTGAAAAAGGAGTGTGCTGCAGCCACAGCCTGGGCCTTCATCAGAGCAGTTACCCACTTCAGGCAAGTTGTTCAGTATTATCAGTTTATTTTCACATTTGTTTTGTTGCTAATGTGTATTAATACAGAGCAGAAGACAAAAACTAAAACTTCTATGTATTTTTTACTATTTCAGATAATCTGTGGCAGCAGCTTGATCGAGAGGTTGGCAGACAAACCACCAATGCAACAGCTGACTCGATCATTGAGGTCCAGCGCTACTTAGCAGAGGGAAACATTTCAAGACAAGAGAATCCAATAACATACTGGGAGAACTGGAAGACATCCTACCCACACCTTTTCCACCTGGCTTTACAGTTTTTGTGTACCCCAGCTTCTTCTGTGCCCTGTGAACGCGTGTTTTTCAAAGCTGGTGAAATAGTGTCCAAAAAACGTAATAGACTAAATGCCAACACACTGGATAAACTTATTTTTCTGAATAAAAATTTATAACAAAAAAACAACTTTTGAGTCAATGACACTGGAATGGGTAACATCACATTCACAACACTGTCACTTTAATTGTCACTTGGTATCATTCACAGAATATTTTGAGGTGTATAGATTTTAAATTTAGAAGTTTAAAATACCATATGTGTCATGGCTCGAGGTAAGTGTCTAACCCAAGACATGCAGAATCAACACATGTAGTCCAAAGCAGTAAAGTAAAATGTCTTTATTATAAAAACGGGAACTGAAACCGCACAGGGAAGTCCTGTGGGATGAGCAATACGGCTCGAGTCTCTGAAGTGTTCAGGTTGATGAGATGATGAGGAAGCCAGGAAGGACGTTGGGCAGAGGGTGAGAAGTCCAGGAGAGGCGAGGTAGCAGAGAAAGCCAAATAGGAGCAGCGGAGGAGGATGGGACGTGATGTGTGTTATCCAGGGAATTAAGACAGCGAGGGTGAGGAGATAAGGAGAGGATCCTGCGTGGAACAAAAACCAGGCGTGAGGGATAATCCAAATCGTAATCCAAAAACACAATCCGAGGTCATAAATCCAATGGTCAAACACGAGTCAAAAACACGAACAAACTTGATCAAGGTCAAAGGCTGGTGCTACCTAAACTGGTGCAATCATCCGGCAAAGTGATGTGTCTCCATCCTCCTTTTGAACCCGCGTCCCTGATTGGGAAATCTCCAGCAGCTGCCGCTCCCCCTGCTCCTCACCTGTGAAGAATTAGCTTAGAGTCTGGTGAGAGGAGAAGGTGTCACTCACCTCTGCCCAGGAACATGACAATATGAAGTAGGCCTACAATAGCTTACAGTGTATACAAGTATGATTAGGTCATTGAATCTGTGTCTGTTGTGTCTCCAGTAAGTTGCCTGCAATGATGTTTAAAGTCCAGTAGGTGTCATCATAGAGCAAAACGGCAGCACTGTGTCGACACAGTATCAATACTATTTGGGGAATGTGCTGAAACGCTTCATCTACCCATCACTAAATTCTTCAGTTTAAAGACTGAAGGGATCAGTTTATTGTCACATTTTGTATCGTGTCGTAAAAGGTTATCAATTTTTAGTGAGGGCAAGTGAGTTTGGATTTTAGAATATCGCATGGTGTTTTGTATAAGTTTTAGAAAAGGTAAGGCGATCGCTTTACAAAATTTATTATATTCTTTGTAAGAAACGGCAATCTCGTACTCTCGTCTCGTCTTCCTCCGCTTATCCGGGTCCGGGTCGCGGGGGCAGCATCCCAACTAGGGAGCTCCAGGCCGTCCTCTCCCCGGCCTTGTCCACCAGCTCCTCCGGCAGGACCCCAAGGCGTTCCCGGACCAGATTGGAGATGTAACCTCTCCAACGTGTCCTGGGTCGACCCGGGGGCCTTCTGCCGGCAGGACATGCCCGAAACACCTCCCCGGGGAGGCGTCCAGGAGGCATCCTGACCAGATGCCCAAACCACCTCAACTGGCTCCTTTCGATCCGGAGGAGCAGCGGTTCTACTCCGAGTCCCTCCCGAATGTCCGAGCTCCTCACCCTATCTCTAAGGCTGATCCCGGCCACCCTACGGAGGAAACTCATTTCGGCCGCAATCTCGTACTTTGTTTTGAAATCCTCATATGACAACATCCTTCCGTTCGTATGTAATAAATCATGAATAAAGCACATTCCAGTGTCATACCAGTCAGATTAGAGTAAAGACTTCTTGTTGACTGTTATGACCCTGTTGTTCCTTATCACTGAGTTGTGAGGTGAGAAGATATGGGTAAAAAGCAACTTTCCAAAGTCCAAAGCCTGCTTGGAGAAGTTTGATAGTTTTAAAGGGATTTTAGAAATATCGAAGTCCCATTTAAGCAGAAATTCTAGTCCACCGACCCTGTTGAAAACTTTATTAGGAATATGATACCACATAGATTGTGGATAGGAGATATACTCTTTGAGCCATTTGATTCTACATGTAGCAATAATGGATTCAAAGTCTTAATGCTTTTAAACCTCCATTTTCATAATCTTTTACCAATTGTGATTTGCGTTTATAATGAGTTTTTTCCAAATAAACTTGAATATAATTGAGTTAGTTAATTTGGTTATTTTTGGGGGAACAAAGGTTGAATATTATGGATAGATGAGTCTTGAGAGGCCTTCACATTTGACAACAGTATACGACCTAGAATAGATAAATCGCATTTCAGCCAGTGGTTAAGAGTCTTTTTAACAGCGTTCAAACGGGGAGTTATGTTTACATTTTCTCTGTCATTTGCATTTTTAGTTATTGTCAAAGATATTTCACTTCCTCTTTTACTGGGATATTTATGATGTGATTTTGGTTGCAGACATGTACAGCTAAGATTTCACATTTTTTTAAGATTTAAGGTTAAGGCCTTAGATAAAGAGGATTTTTTTTACTCCAATAGAAACCATCTCTTTGTTTTTTAGGAACGAAGCCGTGTCGTCAGCAAACTGGCTAATTTTAAGTTCTCTATCTAAAATGTTTATTCCTTCCAGGTCTGGCGAATTTTTACGGTAGATGGCCAGTAGTTCCACTGCGATAATAAATAATAATGGGCTAATTGGGCATCCCTGTTGAATTCCACATTTTATATCAATTCTATTTGAAAAACCTTGCTTAAGTGCAAGATTACTTACATTACAAAAGTGTATTCCAAAACCAAAGCTTTCTAGAACCTTAAGTAGAAAGGGGTGTTCTAAAGAATCAAAAGCCTTAAAAAGTCAAGGAATAGAATAAGACTGTCTGGAGGAATAATAGAATTATAATGCAGAATGTCTAATATTAAGCGAGTACGATGGTGTATATGATGACCTTTTGTAAAGGCTGACTGCGTTTCATCAGTTATTTCGTTTATACCAGTCTTTAGT